TTATTTTCTTCAGTTTTATGTGTAGAACCAATCAGTCACTGGTTTTGTAAGCTTTAACATAAACAATGCCGGCAGCCGTCTCGTCTCCTCTAATATTCCACGTATTAATAATAAATTGTATTGTTAATTTTGCACACACGTACATTAATTCAATAAAAACAAATTCAGAAACATTAATTAAAATATATATGAACAGTAAATAAGTGTTGCTTTCATATTCTTATGTAAAATAATGACGATATGTTTTCACGTGTGCACATGCGCACTTACATACGCGATCTCTCTTTTTTCTTTACCATTATCATTAGCTACTTCTATTGTTCCATTTATTAACATTAAATAACATTACTTAAAACAACCATATTAGTTTTACTACAGCTACAACCAAGGTCTTATTTTCTTCAGTTTTATATGTAGAACCAGTCAGTCACTGGTTTTGTAATCAACGAAAACAATGCTGTCTCATTTCCTCATGTGTTTTAATATTCTACGTATTATTAATGACTTGTACTGCTCATTTTGCACACATAAACATTAATTCTATAAAAAAGACATTCAGTAATAAACAATAATGAATCTTTTGTACAGAAGAGAAATGACACTGTTTACACGATTATGAACGTCGTCTGCACGTTGGCGGGCCGTTCAAACCCATTGAAATTCAAGTTTCCACCAGCAAAATTTTTATTTATTCATTTTTTTGTGTGTTCCAATAAAATACGTTAAGAATTAAAAACTCGCAAAATTTGAGAAGCTACTATACGACATTTAACTCTTCAATATGTCTTCAAAGAGACCATGATGCAGAGAAAGTGGTGCTAGTGCTTCCAGGCATAAGCACAAGTCACTATCTATCCAGGAAAAGGGTGAATTTCCATGGTCCGGCACCGGTCAGGTCCCGAGGTTGCCGGACTAGAGAGGTACAACCTGTACTTCAAACATATAGGAGTTGCATTTAAGTACAGTATTAAAGGCAATAATAACTTGTTTTAGGCATACTGTACTTCAGAGTTGCAAATACAATAGATGAACAAAGCAAAACCAACTAAATCACAACATTTGACATCTATAAAAATCTAATTCTAATGTTTCTTAGTCTTTGCTACATCACACATTACAACCATTACCAGTGTCTGCATTCAAAAACTTTGAAAGAATGATAAAAAGAAGACAAGTTTAGCTGCCTTTTCTGTACCAACATAGTTCCTTAATTTTTAATTGATTGATTGATATGTTTACTGAGATAAAAAAATAATAATAATACATCTCAAAGGGATGAAGTGACATTAGTCATCCCCACCCCAGTCCAGGAATGTCCCTCTCAGGAATCCCATGAATCCTTAATACAGATATATCTCATATAATTAATTATATTACATACAGTTATAAGAACAAGTCCATAGGAGGAGAAGAGTGGGAAAAGTTGTCAGTCAACAAGGGAAAAAGTCTACAGTACAGTATGTATTTATATTTTTTTTTACAAAATTAAAAACAAAAAAATCCTGTTTAAATCAAATAAATCAGATTTTATTTACCAAAACATTGACAACCCTGTCAGATTTCTATTTCTTCAATTCTCTTTATATCATAACTAATAATTTTTTTTCATGTTTTTAAATTTTAATACCCAACAAAAGAAAAAAGAAAAAAAAGGAAAAATTGACCTTACCCTTGTGTATGGGGTCACCTCTGTGCTGAATAAAATCATCTGGCAATAACCAAATAAAATATAGAGTGAGGCCAGGCATGCACCAATTTCAAACTATGACCTGCACCAACTTTTAAAAAGCTTACCTTTTAACATGAAGTGGTACTGGCGAATTGTGGCATCAAGAAACTTTGGAATGAGGCAGAAAGCCACATGAAGAGACACTTTGTTTTTCAGTGCTAAACGCTGAGCAAACAGCATTGCCCAATTATCTTGAAAATAAGAAGTATGAGTATTTAAATGCATGAGACATAAATCTGGTCTCAATTTTGCAGTATATTCAATAATACAAGAAGATGTGTTATAATCATCAACTTGTTTGGATTGTAGGAGGTACTGTATATTGAAAAAATCAGCTTTCATTATAAAGTAACACAAACCTTGAACTCTTTGATCACGGCACATCCAGTACACAATGCCATCACATTCTGCTGGCACTTCATCTGCCTTGCTCATCATTTCAACCCTTTTTTTGTTGAACTTGAAATACTTGACACTTTCTGCAAGCTTTTAATGAAACATAAATGAAAATTCATATGTAGCTATACTGTACAGTACCTGTATTTTCTTTAAATTTTATATAACTATGCAGTAAACACTCAATCTAAGCAGGTTTCCTTTATGTGAATTCTATTTAAAACATCACATACTCCTATACATTCACTCTGTGAATACTGTATTTGCTTATACTGTATGAAGAGCCTATTCTCTTAAACCTCTTCTCACTATTTTAAAGCTATTCTCGCTTGTATGAATATGGTCCCTTATGTTAATATACAAAATTTATATTATTAATTTTTTTATGTGTTAGGTACTATATCACAGTAGTTAGCTACAGGCAATGAACATTATACTAAGGATCTATATACGCTCGATCAGTTTTATGGTTAAAAAATTAACACCTTTTACTGCTAAGCGATGGCTAAGATAATTTTTATGAGGATCGCTACCTGAATGCATTTCCTTCAGTGTCAATGCTATGAAAAAGTGATGTGCAATAACTCGCAATACAGTATTCCGATATGCTAATGCAATCTTAGAATTGTGCAACACGTGCGACCCACACGGGATGCACGAGAGGCTCTGTCGTCCATGGTGACTGTCAGGATGAACCGTTCAATTGCCCAGAGGATGATCTACGTGTGGAAGAAGCGATTCTTTGTACATAACATAATACATAATATACTTTACCAGTAAATATGAGGAATAAATAGAAATTAATAAAAATAAATAAAAAATAAATAAAGAAAACTGCATTGCCATTTGGCAATCGTGTCACTACTCACAAAACAGCGTGCTGAGACTTCCATGCAGCTCCCTTTCCCCCCTCTATATGTGTTAAGTCCTGCACACATGAGAAATTTTTATTCCCTTTCTGTTTTTGACTTTAGGATTTTCTTTTACAGGTGCTCCTCTACTTACGAACGAGTTACGTTCCTGAGGCTTGTTTGTAAGTCCAACTTTACTCTTGTAGATACCAAACATATTGTAAAGAATGAAAAGATTATGGATATTTAGAACAGCTATACCCTTTAATACAGCCTTAAAACCTGGCTCACTCTTCTTTTAGGTAATGTTTGTTCTATCTGGAATTTTCTTCAAAACAATCCAGTCTCATCCACATTAAACACCTGTTCTGACAGTAACCCCCCTCAGTGATGATGTTTGTATCTCTGAAAGTTTGTAAGTTGAACGTTCTTAAGAAGAGGAGCACCTGTATTTTGTTTTTTACACATTCTGTATGGATAGTTGTGTGCATAAAAAAATAAATAAAATAATACAGGATATCTACCCGAAATTTCAAGTTGAAAAATGACAATAATGCAGCTCACAGCAGGGCGGAAGGATGAGATCCCAACGCTGCACCCCCCTCCCCCTTCTATAATCCACACTAACTCTCATGTACAGTACATAAGTAATGTTTATTAATTTTATGTTTTTGACCTTATAATAATTTTTTAGCAAATTATGTATGAAAGATTGTGTATGCATGCAACAATGTTAAAAAAAAATACATGTCTACCTGAAATTACTTGTAATGACAGCTGGGGAATTGCAACTTGCAGCTGTACACATAAGTATCATGTAAGGTGAATGAAAGTAAATCTTCATATTGTATAAATTTATTGTGTTTATGTCTTCATTTTGCATAAATTTATTGTTTTTGTCTATTTACAAATTATTTGAGTTATTTAGCCATTATTTAATCATTATAAGAGCAGGATATAAAACTTTTGAGGTCTCTAACCCCATTGAATAACAGTCAGTCCGTACTAATTAACAGTACAATGATCTCCCCATTAGCCAGAGATCTTCCGGGTAACGGGAGAGTTCCCCGGAATTTTTCTGGGTACGTACTGGAAAAGGTTTCCGAGAGTATAAACTACGCGTCTTGCACAGACAGACACTACCCACATCTCCAGGTTTCTGGGTGCTGAGGAAAGTTTTCCAAGATTCTAAACTACGCATCTCATATCGACTCTAAATTACACATCTTATCAGGGGCCGCATACTCAAAAAAATTTATGGGACTGTATCTCTTTGTTTACCCCGTAACAGGACTTACAGTCTCCGATCGGTATACTCAAAACAAAAATTTGGTAGCGGACTCCATAAGTGAGCCCATAATCTAGCACATAACTTACAGCACCTTAGGAAGTGCTGTAACACATCACCATCAACCATACCAAGACCATCAACCTCTCCTCCGACGTTGTCCCACCCCCTTCCATTACTTTAGGTCCCAACACACTCCAGGTTGCAGATTGCATTAAGCTCCTCGGCATCACCATAGACAACAAACTAAATTGGAAACCACACATCAGTGAAGTTGTCAAATCCTCCAGTTTCTGTGTCCATCTCCTCCGCCGACTCAAGTCCCTCGGAGTTCCTGCACGCGAGATCCTCAGTGTTAACTCAACATTCATACTTCCCAAGCTAACCTATGTCTCCCCTACCTGGTCTTCCTCCCTAAATGCCACACAACGTAAACGCCTAGAAAAAGTGCAAAAGAGGGCATGCAAGATTATTCTCTCCCCTTCCTACTTCACATATCAAGAAGCGCTCAACACACTGACCCTCTCGGCTCTCACTGACCATCACCAAGACCTCATCTGCAAATTTGGTGAGAAGCTTCTGCACCATACTCAACACCGACTCCTACTAACACCAGAAATCCCTCGCCCGAGAATTGCTGTTCGACACCACAACCGCATCCAGCCCATACGAGCACGAACTGATCGCTATAAGAACAGCCCAGTCCCAACCATTGTAAAAATTATCAATACAGTGGTCCCTCGGTTTATGAGCGCCTCGGTTAACGAGATTTCGGTTAACGAGTTAACTTCCATAAGATTCTTAACTTCGTTTGTAATCCCTCGATTAACGAGTTTCTTACGGGCCGACCTGAACATGTTTTCGCTTGCATTTGGAGGTTCACCAGCTGTAGTATTAGTCTGCCAATACAGTAATCGGTTCTAGGGCTTAAATTCCTTACCATTTTAGCAAATATCAAGAAGTTTATACTATTCAATAATTTTAAAAGTTTAATATTAAATTTTTTAGTCATTTTAACAATTATTGAACATAATTGAAGGTAATGAAACTAGTTTTATGCGCGCCATCCAGCCTCTCAACACACCATACAGGCGTCAGTCTTTGTGTCTTTTCAGTGGAGGTAACATCTTGCTTGAGACTCTCTTCAACTAAACGCTTTTTTTCTGTGTTTGCAAGCAAATTATTGGTCATTTTGAAATTGATTTTACATATTAACAATATATAATGCAGTGCAGTGTTGATTTAAAGAAAATAATCTTGAATTACACCAAGAGAACAAAAATTTTATGGGTGAAATGGCGCCATGGGGTGACTTCTCTTCCAACCCAATGCCTTCTCTTCTCCCTTCTCCTCCACCCCCATTCTAATTCCCATCATCATCATCATCATCCAGGAGCCTTCTACATACACACCTCAAAGTAAGTGTACTTTTCTACATTTTCTGTTGAATTTAGGCAATTTTCGGTGAGCTGGAACCAATTACCCAAAAACCCATTGAAACAATGGTTTCGGTTAACGAGTTTTTCGATTAACGAGCAACCTACTAGAACGGATTGTGCTCGTTAACCGAGGGACCACTGTAACTTGTAATCAACCAGTGTATTCACTTCCAGTCATTCTTACTTTTTGCACTGTCACTATGTTGAAATGCCCTGTAGTTTGAGCTTCTCCCCACCTAGTTATTATATATCATATTTGTATCACTTATGTTACTTGTATTTTATTTGTAAATCAAGAGACCCATTCCCCAATTATGCAACTGTATATTTTCAGCCTTCCGGCTGCCATGCTCTTTCAATAAACCGTTAATTATTATTATTATTATTATATACAGGAATATCTCACTAATCGCAACCCCGCTAATCTGCAATTGATCTTTTAACACCCCTATTAGATATTCGCAAAGGAAAATTTAAATCCCTACAGTAATATCTCAAACTACATGGGCTAGCTGCAGCTTTCATATTCAGCTGTAAGGCCCGCTTCACATGAGTGTGTTTTTTCCATGCATGAGGACTCGCAGGTTTTAGAAATTAATGCCTGTACTGTACCTGTATTTCCAAACCGCAGCATGAAAAAACACGCTGTGCATTCTAGAATTCTTTATATGGCAATGGAGTACAGTACTTAAGTCAAACAAGCTTAAATGTTTACACTCATCTACAAATGTCGTGCACACACACTCACAATCGTTCATACAAAATGTGCAAAAAAAGAAGATTATCGTAAGGTCATAAACATAAAGGGAATGAACATTTCTTAAATGCACGGTACAGTAGTTAGAGCGCAGATCGTGGGAGGAGGATGGAACAATGTTGGGGATCTCAGCCACTCCAGTTTCCCATGTTCCATGTTTAGTGAAACATTTGCCAACTGGCATTGCTGCAATTTTTTTCTTTTCTTTTATTTATTAATATATTTTTTGTTTATTCCTCACATATACCAGTACTACAGTATACTGTACATGTGACCCTGGACCCTAATATCCTCAAATAATGAAGTGTGTATATTAAAAAATACAGTTAACCCTCACTTTATGCGGTTAATGTAACCCGGAGGGTACCGCGGAAAGTGAGGAACGCGTAAAGTGAATAACATAACATATGGGCTTAATTGAAATGGAGTCCGGGCCGATCCCCAAACTCCACTTTTTGACGACACACAACTATGTTGTAGTAAAAATTTTATCTTAACTTTATGATGGTATGAAAAAACAAGTAATATAGAAGAGGTTAGGTTAGGAAAGATAAAGGTTAACATAGGAAAAATAAAGGTAAGGTTAGAAAACTAAAAATTAGGTGGAACACTTACGGTAGTAGAAGAGATGGGTCAGCATACGGGGATGGAGGCTGGTTCCGAGGCAGAGGGCAGATTACTGGCCCTCAGGTGAATCACCATTACTAGGTGAATCACCATCACTGTCACTTACAGTTGTCAGGGCTTCCCTGACAAAT